AGTCATGAGGGGGTCATAGTTCCCCCGATGCTGGCTCAGGAATTCTGGGAGTTGAAGTCCACAAATCATGAGGGGGCCGTAGTTCCCCCATGCTGGCTCAGGAATTCTGGGAGTTGAAGTCCACGAGTCATAAAAGAGCCAAGGTTACCTACCTGTGGCTTAGTTGTTTTCCAGCTACGTCAATATCTGCTTGTGTGCACGCTCCCTCCGGGGTCTGCATATCTCCGGGGTCTGCACCTACCTGCAGAGGAGAGGATGCACCAAAAACAACAACAACAACGACAACAACAAAAAACAAACACAACCCAGAGCTTCATTTCCTTAAAACTTTTAATTTACTTAACAACTTTTCCAGACCTCCCTCTTCTGGAAGCTGTTTACTCTGGAATAAAAAAATGGCTTAAAACAATCAATCAGAGCATTTTGTAAAGGGCGTAGTAAACATTACCCCTGGGAGGAAAAAAGTAAACGGGTAAGTAGCAAATCAGCTAAAAGTCACAGTGGCCTTAACACCTTTGCAGACGTCGTGGGAGAATGAACACGGTTTGGGCCGGAGCCCAAAACACACAAAAGCAGAAATAGTCTTGACTTTGACTGGCTGAAAATGGGATGGTTTTAGGCCCCGGGCAAGGGTCAGGTTGTTATCGTTGCTCTTGTTGTTTTGAGCCTTTGGTTGTTTGGGTCCTTTACTTTGTGCATTGTATTTCTGGGGTTTTAATCTTCTGGTGTGCTGCCCAGAATGACTGAAGTGAGATGGGCAACCATATAAACTGGATGGATGGGTGGGTGGGAGGATGGTGAGGAGAAAGGAAGGGAAGGGAAGGGAAGGGAAGAAGGGGCAAGGAAATGGAGAGGAAAGGGAAGGGAGGGAGGGAGGGAGGGGGAAGGGAGGAAGAAGCAAGGAAATGGAGAGGAAGGAACGGAAGGAAAGAAGCAAGGAAATGGAGAGGAAGGGAAGGAAGGAAGGGAAGAAGGAAAGAAGCAAGGAAATGAGAGGAAGGGAGGGAAGACGAAGCAAGGAAATAGAGAGGAAGGAACAGAAGGAAGGGAAGGAAAGAAGGAAAGAATCAAGGAAATGAGAGGAAGGGAAGGAAAGAAGGGAAGAAGAAGCAAGGAAATGGAGGAAGGAAAGAAGGAAAGAAGCAAGGAAATGAGAGGAAAGGAAGGGAAGAAGAACCAAGGAAATGGAGAGGAAGGAAAGAAGGAAAGAAGCAAGGAAATGAGAGGAAGGGAAGGAAGGAAGGGAAGAAGAAGCAAGGAAATAGAGAGGAAGGGAAGGAAGGAAAGAAGCAAGGAAATGGAGAGGAAGGGAAGATGAAGCAAGGAAATGGAGAGGAAGGAACGGAAGGAAAGAAGCAAGGAAATGAGAGGAAGGGAAGGAAGGAAGGGAAGAAGAAGCAAGGAAATAGAGAGGAAGGGAGGGAAGACGAAGCAAGGAAATGGAGAGGAAGGAACAGAAGGAAGGAAGGAAAGAAGGAAAGAAGCAAGGAAATGAGAGGAAGGGAAGGAAAGAAGGGAAGAAGAAGCAAGGAAATGGAGAGGAAGGAAAGAAGGAAAGAAGCAAGGAAATGAGAGGAAAGGAAGGGAAGAAGAACCAAGGAAATGGAGAGGAAGGAAAGAAGGAAAGAAGCAAGGAAATGAGAGGAAGGGAAGGAAGGAAGGGAAGAAGAAGCAAGGAAATAGAGAGGAAGGGAAGGAAGGAAAGAAGCAAGGACATGGAGAGGAAGGGAAGAGAAGGGGAGAGGAAGGGAGGGAGGGAGGAAGGGGAAGAAGAAGGGAAAGAAGATAGGAAGGAGGTAGAAGAGAAGGAGAGGAAGGGAAGCAAGAAAGAGAGCTTTCTCTTAGCTCTGCTCAGTTTTGTCTTTTCTGCCATAAAATTACTTTTTTCCCCCTCCCCTCAAACCACTTTCAACCCAAGGACCTGGGCTAAACCCGGCCAGGCTTCCTTGCCCTGCAGCTGTGGTGATGGGCTTAGGATAAAAACCTCCTAATGGCGCATCAGGGCTGAGGAATCCTGACCTGCTGACACAAAAAGTGTGTGTGTGTGCGGGGGAGCTAAACCCTGTTTATTGTGTTACGTCCCCTGCAGGTTTCCTTAGTTTCGTGGGACTCTACCTGATGTTCGGCTATGGGGCCTCCCTGATCTGTAACCTCATCGGCTTCCTCTACCCGGCTTATGTCTCGTAAGTCTCCCCGCGAGAGGAGAATAGAACAGAATAGGATAACAGAGTTGGAAGGGACCTTGGAGGTCATCTAGTCCAACCCCCTGCTCGGGCAGGAAACCCTATACCCATTTCAGACAAATCTCTTCTTAAAAACTTTCCAGTGGCAACTTCTGGTGGCAAGTAGTTCCACTGATTCACAACTTCTGGTGGCAAGTAGTTCCACTGGTTAATTGTCCTCACTGTCAGGAAGTTTCTCCTGAGTTCCAGGTTGCTTCTCTCCTTGATCAGTTTCCATCCGTCGCTTCTTCTCCTGCCCTCCGGTGCTTTGGATAATAGCTTGACTCGAACTGAGCGCGGTCCCCACTCCCCGTTTGGGGCTCCCCTGAGGGCAGCTAGACAGGGCTTAAAATGCTCTGGTCCCTGGGGGTGAGAGGTGAAGGGAAGAGCGAATTCATTAGATAATGATCCGAACGGAGGCCAACCTTTTCACTGCTCAGTGAAACAGTCAAGTGAGCTTTGCCCCATTTTACGACCAGCTCTTAAGTTAGTCACACGGTCGTTAAGTGAAGCTGGCTTCTGAGCTCTGGTGGCGCAGTGGTTAGCATGTGGTACTGCAGGCTAATTCTGCATTCCACTGCCAGGAGTTTGATCCTGACCGGCTCAAGTTTGACTCGACCTTCCGTCCTTCCGAGATCGGTAAGATGAGGACCCAGATTATTGGGGGCAAAGATGCTGACTCTGTAAACCGCTTAGAGAGGGCTGTAAAAGCAGCATGAAGTGGTATATAAATCTAATTGGTTGTGCTAAGTCTGAGGGAGGGAAGGAAGGAAGGAAGGAAGGAAGGAAGGAAGGAAAGGAAGGAAGGAAGGAAGGAAAGGAAGGAAGGAAGGAAGGAAGGAAGGAAGGAAGGAAGGAAGGAAGGAAGGGCCATAGAGCCATGGTGGCACAGGGGTTAGAATGCCGCATTGCAGGCTAATACTGCCCACTGCCAGGAGTTCGATCCTGACAGGCTCCAGGATGACTCGTCCTTCCGTCCTTCCGAGGTCGGTAAAAGGAGGACCCAGATGGTTGGGGGCAAATATGCTGACTTTATAAACCGCTTAGAGAGAGCTGTGGAAGTGCCGTGAAGCGGCATATAAGTCTAAAGTGCTCTGGCTACCGACTCTCCCCGTCTCGGTTTCAGCATCCGCGCCATCGAGAGCCCGGCCAAGGATGACGACACCACCTGGCTGACCTATTGGGTGGTCTACGGCACCTTCAGCGTGGTGGAATTCTTCTCCGACACCTTTCTCTATTGGTTTCCCTTCTACTACGCCGGCAAGGTAAACGGGAAGGCAGGGAGGCAGGCAGGGCGGGGGCCCGGGAAAGAGCTGGCGGATGGGGGGGAGTGTCCCCTGCCCTCACCGGATCCACTCTGGTCATTCATCAGTGGCGATGGTCCCCAGACCCTCCGTGTTCAGGGGTAGTCTATCTGAGGGTGCCCGTGGGAGGCTGGGGCCAGAGTTGGCTTCCCGCCATCGACGTAGGCCGGATCGGGTGCAGGGGGAATTCCTAGAGACCCCTCCCCTTCCCGGGCAAGGTCCTCACCCTGTGGACCCTCTGCTACGCCCCCTCCCCAGTGCCTCTTCCTGCTGTGGTGCATGGCGCCCTTTTCGTGGAACGGCTCCCAGGTGCTCTACCGCAGCTTCATCCGGCCCTGGTTTCTGAAGCACCACCGGACGGTGGACAGCGTCCTGAGCGACCTCACCGGACGGGCTGCTAGCGTCGCCTCCGCCGCTTCCCGGGAAGGTAGGCGGTCGAGTCCCGTGTGTGTGTGTGTGTAGGGGTTTCCCAAGCCACCTGTGGGAGGGGGGCATCAGTGGGCATGGGTGAAGCTCGCAGACGCGCTTGCAAAATGGAAGACAGGGTGATCTACATGGCTTCCTTGGAGTGGATGGATATCGGGGGTATTGCTGGGGATGTTGATTTTGACATTTTGAATTTTGAATTCTGAAGATTTTTGAATTTTGAATTTGAATTTTAAATTGGGGATTTGGGATTTTTGAATTTTGAGTTGGGGATTTGAAATTTTTTTTTTTATTTTTTATTTTGAGATTTTTGGTTTGGGCATTTTTTTTTTGTTTTCTGGTTTTTGATTTTGGATTTGGGGATTTTTGATTTTGAGATTTAGATTTTTTTTATTTTGAATTTGGATTTTTATTTTTTATTTTTTTAATTTGGATTTTTGATTTTATTTTGAATTGTGAGATTTTTTTGATCTGGGCATTTTTGTTTTTTGTTTTCTAGTTTTTGATTTTGGATTTGGGGATTTTTGATTTTGAGATTTAGATTTTTTTTATTTTTATTTTGAATTTTGAATTTTTATTTTTTTAATTTGGATTTTTGATTTTGTTTTGAATTTTGAATTGTGAGATTTTTTTGATCTGGGCATTTTTGTTTTTTGTTTTCTAGTTTTTGATTTTTGATTGGGGGTTTTTTGATTTTGAGATTTTTATTTTTCTATTTTTTATTTTGAATTTTAAATTTGATTTTGGATTTGGGGATTTTGGATTGATTTTTGATTGCCACCCATCTCGTTCAGGGGCGGCTCTTTGAGATGAGGGAAGGGGGAGGGGGCGTGAGGCTTTATTTTTCTGCCAAAATTCCCAATGCAGGCAGCCCTCGACTTAAGCATTTCTTTAGTGACCGTTTCAAATCACAGCAGCCCTGGAAACAAAAAGGACTTTGTGACCGGTTTTCACTCTTAACGGCTGTTACAGCGCCCCCCCCCCCCCGTGGTCATGTGGTCAAAATTTGGCCATCTGGCCACTGGCATGTCATTGCACCGTTTGGGGGGGGTGTTACCTGATTTATTTAATGATTTATTTAATGACCACGTGATTCACTTAAGAACTGCAGTGATTTGCTTAACGGTGGCGAAAGTCGTAAAATGAGGCACGGCGCATTTATCTATTTTGTTCAATCTACTAGTGCAGTGTTTCTCAACCTTGACCATTTTAAGGCATGTGGACTTTAACTCCCAGAGTTCCACAGCCAGCAACGCTGGCTGTGGAATTCTGGGAGTT